ACTACTTCTTGATATTCGAGGCTAATTCGAGATTCCCGGGACTACATCGGAATTTTTGGAACTACTGTAGAATCTTGAAAGAGCTTTTTGATGTAGATTTAATCTTGTTTGCGATGACTCTCTGATTTGTTGACATTTTTTAAACACTCAGACAATACAGAATTCACAAATTCAAACGCTCATGACAAAAAGATACTCGGGGAATACCCGTAAACAAATTGAGGTCGGGCTTGTTTTTGTTGTCAAACAAATAGTTGGTTTGAAGAATTTATAAGCTCAGAAAAGTTAACCCAAAAGTTAACTTTTATAGCGGTACGTGAACGCTGAAATTCGGTTAAATCAGACGAGCGATTAACTTTTGCGCGAGTTAACTTTTCCGCGATTCTACTGTATTTCGGGATTTTCAAACTTCTTCCATATTTTCGAGATTCTCGGCACTATATTGCGATCTTCGCAACTACCTCGGGATATTTGGACTATTTTTAGATTATTGTGACTAATTCGGAAATTTTGCGAATATGTCGGATTTTTCGAGACTACTGCGAGATTTTAGGATTTCGAAGTAGTCCAGAAGATCCCAGAATAGTGCCGAGAATACCAAAGTCTTCAAGTTGACCCGAAAATCCCGAAATAGTTCTAAAAATCCCGAGTCCCGAGAATCCCGAAAATCTTGAAGTAGTCTATAACTCCCGAAGTAGTCTCGAAGATCTCTATAAATTGCCGAGAATCTCCGAAATCTCGAGATAGTTTCGTAAACCTTAAATTAGTGCCAAAAATCCCGAAGTTGCGCAAAGATCCCACTATAGTTCCGAGAATGCCGAAAATTCCGATGTAGTCCTGGGAATTCCGAAAATTTCGAAGTACTCCTAAAAATTCCGAAATAGTGTAAAAATCCCGAAGATCCCTATAAAGCGCCGAGAATCTACATAATCTCGAGGTAGTTCCGTAAACCCCCAAAAATAGTCCAAAAAATCCTGAAGATCCCGATATAGCTCCCAGAATATTTATTCGGTATTTTATACTATTACATATTTTTCTCTTAAATATGGCCGCGTGAGAGCTCCTCGTGTAAACAGACATGGCAACGAGTGAAAAACCGAAAAAATTTTCTTAAGAACAAAATACCAGTGAGAATGAATGTGCGTGTAAAAACCCATGAGAATTCGCACACCAACATGGCGTAACTCTCATGAGAGTTGATCTCATCGTTTACGAGCACTTTTACTCCTTGTACCAAGGTGCCGACTTCGGTTAGTCCTGAGGTAGCTGATGTCGTCTAGGATAACGTGCTATCAGTCTTTGAGAAGAAACTTCGGACACCAGACTTCCAGCAGCTTAGGTCGACAAAGGTTCCGCTACTAATTCCAGAGCTCCTGATAAACAGGCGGAGTTAGGAAGCCCAATGGCTTCCGACGACACTTCTGAGCCTCCATTCGCGTGCCCACTGACTCCGCCAGAGGTAGCGGTAGGCTTGGTCCGGAAGTGATGGTATTGGAGCTCCACCTGGATAACTTTTGTTTGTTTTAGAATTTGATTTTGCGTGCGATTCCCACGAGTAACCGGGAAATGGGAAAAGTACGGTAATCCTGATCCCACGACAAGTCTGGTTGAAACTGGAGGACGATCGGTATCCAGAGTCGACATACTAGGAACCAGGCACCCCCCAGGCCATGCATCCCTCGGCATATGCTGTTACACCATGGAGTTGGAGTCATTTATATGAAAGAGAGGCAGCTCAGAAGGCGATCCGAGCAATGGTGTGAGACCAATGTCAAACCCATCAGCCCGACTGTCGTAGTATAGTCGTATTCCAGCAATGAATGTGGACGGAAAACACCCCCAAGAAAGTGACGACCGTCCTAGACCTTTCGACTGACGGCCCATACCATCGTGTCATTTAAAAAAAGTATTTCAAGAGTGTATCGGTATCGGAGAAAGAAAAGTATCGGTATACATACATACTTGGAATTAAAGATATTTATTTTTTTCATTTAATACCCAAAATCGATACTACTAAAATCAAGGATATCACTTATAAATGTTGGTCCGGATTGGAGTCGGTCAAGACGTCTTCATAGGGTAGTCTGAACTTTGACCCCTGAGCGACACACCTTAACCGACTTCAATCGGAACCAAAATTTATATGTGATATCTTCGTTTATAGTTGTATCGATTTCGAGTATTAGACGAAAAAAAGTTAATTTAAATTTTTTGAGTCTCCATAGAGGAATTTGAACTATGCCCCCTGTGCGACACGCATTAGCCGTCTACAATGTGGACCAAAATTTACATGTGATATCTGTGATATAGTAGCATCGACGTAGGGGCTGAGGCTTAGGAAATTTAATGCAAAAATTTGCTTCCTACATTTAAGGACCACCCAGGCCCGGCCGCATGGGGGGGTTTTCAGGGTTGAAACCCCCCCTTCCCCCCATGCTGGAGGGAAAGACACATAAAAATGTGCCATCATTTGGTTTAAGACAACAATGGTAAAAAACAATGTCAACAATTTTTATTGAGTTTGTGGCCGTTTCTAATAGTTCATATCCCAGTGACCGCGGTAACGAGATGTGGTGATAGTAGATGTAAATTCTACCTATGCATAGCTATGGGTAAATTATTGTTTTGTTGAATATAATGGTTAAAAGGCCATAAAAAACAAAAAAAAATTAAGATATCAGTAAAACTTTTTTATTGAAATAGCTTAATGGTACAATATTGTGTTCTTCGCAATTAGGGGAACGAAGGTATTGTGGATTCAGCGGGTAATGGGTTCCACCTATTAAAAGTAAAGTGAGAGTAATTTAAAATAGCGATTCCAGCACAAATGAACTCTGTGAAGGGATGCCAATAAATATGTAAGTATATAAAAAATTGCAGCCAAAAATTGAGTTTGAAAAGATATTATATTATGCATTAAATTTTGACCCCTTTTGATGAAGGGATTGCGTGCACTTTATAAAACGTACGTTTAGTGTCAACTTCCTATATTTGCACATTACACGTTTTTTTTTATAAAAGTGTATTTTTTACAACGCTTTTATAACTTGCAATGTTGTGTGTCCAGACCCCCATTTATAATATAAATATAGCAAAGGTATTTATGGCAAACCTACTCTAGATATCAACCTCGTCGTATGTATCATATCAAATACATACAATAAGAAAAACTCTAGAAATAGATGGCGCCCCGCCGGACGAAGTTAGGCTACAGCGGAAATGGACGATACGCCATTTCTTTAAATGAAAATAGCCGCGATCGATTCGCCACTTCGCTGCTTGCTATGTTCGAGTTCCTGTCGCTTAACGAAAAATTTTGCATGTGAAAGCAACAACAAAGTTAGCTAGCAAAGCAAGTTAGCTAGCATGGATGGATAGCGAGTTTGTTTCGTTCGTTTTGCTACTGGCTCACTGTTGGCGAATCGATGACGGCTATAGTCTTCTGTTCGCTTTTCAATGCAGGTTGAATTATTTTAATATCTATAGCAAAATTTTATAGAAACAAGACTAAAGAGTTGAAAATAAATAAAATAAAAATACTACTTTAGCTAAAGTCATTATAAACAATTTATGAGATTGAAAATGAAAAGCGTTGGGCGATATGAAGAGTAATATGTTATATGTATGTATGTGGGTATACGAATAACGACCGCTTAAAATCGATCTCAAATTTGTAATTTCTCTGTAGAAATTTTAGGTGTATGTTATGTAGTTTAACTACTGTCAATTAAATCTAATGCTTTGTAATGCATACGCTCCACGTTTTTCGTCGTCACTCTCATAAATTGCTTATAATAACTTGCTAAAATTTCAAAATTAAAAGTTATCAAAACAAATTCTATGGGACTGAGATATATTATTTTTTAATTTTTAGTCCATTTATAAAAGCGCGGTATATAATTTTATTTTTTATTTTTTTTAGGTTTCGAATGCATATTATTTATTTTTTGAAACGTACAAAATTAAAAAATTACACCAGCGGGTATTGTGGCTCATTTGTATATAATGTCGTAATTTCCGCTAGTGGTGGTGATAATTTTATAATATTTTACTATATTTATAATTTTCTAGAATCATGAGAAAGATATATTTTTGTACAAGAATTTAATGTACAGTTTGTGTACCACAATAACCAATGTCAATGACACTTCTCTTTGAAGCCCATAGTAAACTTTAAAAAATTTTATTCCTCATTTAAAAACATATATAAAAATAAAAACAAATAAGAGTATATAACAAATGACTAAGTTTCCATTAAGTCAAGGTGCAGTAATGGCATTTTCAGAGATAGTAGTCGAGAGGTCTAGCTTTAATTTAAGCCAAGCCAAGAGCTTCTGTTCAAGATTATCATCTGGAATCACTGATATTTGGGCATCTGGCGCAGTCAACATATATACATAAGTATGTCACGCCATTACACATTTGCTGGAATGTCACGCCATTATACAGTTGCTGGATCACGGCATGATACAAAAAGGAAGGTAATTTCAATAAACAACTTTTGACGGATAATAAAATTTTCTAAAGTTTCATAAATTGTGAGTATTATCAACGGCCTTGCCACTTCGATAATATTAAAACAATAAATCGGAGTATTTTCTTTCCCATATTTATACCAATGTAATAACATTTCAAATGAAAAACCATTATCAGTGCTTGGTACTTTTTTTCTTACGTGGTTTGCACCTTTTTTTATTAAAAATATTTAAAATGTAAACTGTTAAAGGAGATTTCATCTTAATTGTTCTTTTCATTTTGTAATAAAAACCACGGGCGCATTATTCTGTTATTTTTTTGTTTTCTTATTTTGAATGCAATCTTGCGATTTAAAAATCGGTTTCTAAAGAATGTTCTTCCCAAATAAAACCTTTTTATATTTTGGTTCAAATTTACTTTTAAATTTCTCATCAGATTTTGCAAAAATTTTTCTTTGTGATTAGCGCATCATCATTAATTTTCACCGCCCTCCGATAAACAACTAACAGATCGTCGTTCAGCATTTACGTGATCTTCCATTAGCTGATCCAACATTTGGTGTCCCAGGGCCGGTGGATTTACTCCTTGGAGCGGACATCTGGCCGTCACTTATATTAAATGACGTAATAGTTGGAGCCCAGAATGAACCATGTGCATTGAATACGCGTTTAGGTTGGATAGTACTTGGTCCAGCAGCATCTAATACATCCGCGTCGCCACTCTGCTCATTGGTAGTGGACGTCGGCAATGACGATAGCACTATACATCAACTTTTACAGTGGTTCTGGGAGATCAAAGAGCCATCTAGCGGAACAATGCTCGAAATAGACGTTTGTGAAGACATTTTTTGCGAGACTGTCACGCGATGTCCAGATGGTTAATACTGTGTACAGATACCATTCCGTCCCGATGCACCCGCGCTTCGGAGGTCACACCCTGCTGCCCTGCAACAATTTCTTCAACTCGATAGAAGACGCAATCGACTCAACAACGAAGGAGAATTATATTCGGTTCACGCACGAGTATGAGGATCTAGGGAACGTGGAGGCTGTCGACATCACCGATGAAAATCCGAGTCAATGCTTTTACATACCACATCACGCGGTTACGAATAATTCCGTGCGGTGTTCAATGCTTCAGCAAAAGCATCAACCGGTGTGTCTTTGAACAATACGCAATATTCTGGGCCACCACTGCAAGATAATTTATTTGACATCCTTCATCGATTCGGCCTCTATGCTTTAGCCCTTACTACAGATATAACGAAGATGTTCCGGCAAGTACTGGTGGACCCAATGCATCGAAAGTGACAGCAGATTCTTTGGAGAAAACCCCCTCATGAACCCTACCTATCAGCTCAAAACTGTAGCATACGGTATGGCAAGTGGGCCTTTCAACGCCATTCGGACATTGAAGCTATGTGCTCTTGATAATTAGGGAGTTATCGCTGACGTCAGCCGGGGAACCGCAGCATGAGACAGCATTCTCCAAAGCTTCTATGTCAACGACTACTTAGACAGTGTTCACACCGCAGAACTGGCCATCAATCAAGCGCGCGACGTTGGTGACATTCTCCGGCAAGGTAAATTTGAGTTAGAAAAGTGGAACTCGAAAAGCACGCAAACAATAGCAGCGCTCAACAGCGCGAAAACGTCGAACGTGGAGAGGAACTTGGGCGATTCTAACACTACGGTACTAGGTGGTACTAGGCCTGCATTGAAATCCCATCACAAATCTTTTGTTTTTTAAGGTTAAGGTATGTAAAGTTCATAGCAGTCCTACTAAACGAACGGTCTTAAGTGATATTGCCAGGCTATACGATCCATTGGTGTTATTGGCCCCGGTTTTCGTGACAACGAAAATACTGGTTCAAAAGCTTAGGATGGCCAAACTAAGTTGGGATTCCAATTTGCCATCTGGGCTACCGGAAATTTGGCTGAAATTTCGAGATAGTCTCATTTCACTCGAACGAGTTAGAATATCACGTTGGCTGGGCATTTCAGAAACGTCAATACCAACGTTTCACGAGTTTCGTGATGCGAGCACCAAGGCTTATGCCGCAGTTGTTTACAAAGAGTGCATTGATCTCAACGGGGAGTCGCATTTCATCCTAGTGGCAGCTATTCCCCGTCTGGAGCTATCTGCCGCACAACTCCTAACCACACTCATGTATAATGTACGTCGCGCTCTTCGTTTGGAGGATGCTACATGTAACTTATGGAGGGACTCCACGATTGTCTTTCACTGGATTCGTCGACATCCGGCTTCATTGAAACAGTTTGTAGCTAACCGCGTAGCATACATACAATCGAAATCAGACTCCGGTACCTGGCGCCACATTATATCCGAATTTAATCCCGCCGACTGTGCGAGTCGTGGAATAACTGCATCGGAAATAGAAAATAATCTACTTTGGTGGGGTGGCCCAACCCTTTTTCATCAGGTCGAGAAGGCGTTATCAGAACTCCCTGACTTGACAAATGACGAACAACAAGTCTTCATCATTGAGAGCCGTGCACTTAATATCTTTCTTGGTGTGGGAGTTGAGGCGCGATTATTAATGACGTCATTTGGAACACTGCGAATTCCCTTGGTAGAAAGATTTTGCCGACTGGAAGCGCTACTCAATACGAACGCACGCATTTGACGCCTAATTCCCATCTTTCGGGAGCTGCGCTCAAACGAGGTGGTTACAGCAGAGGAGAAGGAATGGGTATTGAAAATTCACATACGTCAAAGTCAAGGTAATTTCTACCAAACTGAAATTAATATACTCAAGACTCTTTCTAGTGTTGGCACGTCGAGTAAACTGCTCCCGCTGGACCCTATCTTAGATCTTAGAACGAGGTATCCTATGGCTCGGTGGACGCTTAACTAATGCAGAATTTCCAGCTGATCAGAACCATCTAATAATTCTTGCCAAGAAATGCGCTTTGGCAAAATTACTGGTTATCGATGCTCACCGACGATGTATGCATGGCGGGATACAGGAGATGCTTTACTACGTGCGACCGAAATTTTGGATTATACATGCCCGACAACTGGTGAAGTCAAACCAATGTGCTGTATGCCGGCGACATTCTCGGGCCACCCAACAGCAGCAGATGGCGTCCCTTCCTAAATAGCGGGTGATGGTGGCGCCACCCATACCGGATTGGACTACTCTGGCCCATTCAACGTTCGACTTGGAGGAAAGCGATCCACAACTTTGATCAAATCATATGGTGCGATATTTATTTAGCATCAATTGGTATGCAGTGGAAATTTATCACTCCAGCCGCACCTCATCATGGAGGATTATGGGAGGAAGCTGTACGTTCAGCCACGAAGCACCTGTATGGATTATCGGCCGTCAGACCCTATGCTTTAATCAGTTAAGTACGTTGCTCATTCGAATCGAAGCATGCTTAAACTCGAGGCCTCTCGTTCCCCTTTATGACGATCCCAGCGGAAGTTTGGCGCTCATACCCGGCGACTTTTTGATTGGTCGACCGCTGAACGCACGTCCCGATCCACCTATTGGCAATGTTCCCGAAAATCATCTGATATATGCGCAACAATTACAGAAAAAGTTCGAGCACTTCTGGAATCGCTGGCAGCGCGAACATTTGACGACTTTGCAAGCATGACATAAATGGGAGAGACGCAGACAAACTATTCAGCTAGGCGATGTTGTGTTAATCGAAAGTGAGAATTTGCCTCCCACGCATTGGCGAATGGGCCGTATTGAAGATGTCCATCCTCTGATGGTTTAGTGCGGGTGTTCACTATTGTATTCAATAGTATAGGATAATAAGAAGACACCAGAAGGGCTGTTCATTAAACATAAGTGCCAGCGACCGGTGCAGAAAGTATGCCGTCTCATCGAGCCACAAGTCGAGCTTCTGAACCATGAAGGTTCAGCCGGGGAGGAATGTTGAAGATTATCATCTGGCATCACTGATAATTGGGCATCTGGCGCAGTCAACATACATACATATGTCACGCCGTTATACAATTGCTGGATCACGCCATTGTGCCGTATACACAAACATCTATCTGTTATTGTCAATTCTCTTTATATACTGCTAAGCTAAGCTCAGGTTGGAGAGTTGTGATTTATATTTTTAACAAGTTGTTGGTCACCCAATCTTATATATTATTTCTCTAAGGTCGTTTTTTGTTAGTCTCCCTTTTTCTACTTTTCTATATAAGCAATACCACTAATGAGGTATCATGAGAGTAGTTATTAGGTAATTCTTATACAGGGTGTCCCAGAAGTAACGTGCCAAACTTTAGGGGAAGGTAGGTGGGGGGTGAGCTCCCTGATAAACAAAACATTTTCAGGTAAAAGTGTCACCGTTTTTGAAATATTTACATTTTTTCGAATTTAAAAAAAAATCGTGCCTTTTCATGTATTTTCTTTAACTGCAACTACAAACCGGGCAATACTTAGTAAATTTTTTATGTAAAATACTTCCAGATAGTTGCCTCTCCATACTCAAATGCAATGTAGTTAAAATATATTAAGGAACCATCACAAAATTAGGACTATTTCGGGATTTTTAACCTTTCGATATTTTCTTCTCCAACTTTGACTATCTGTGGTGAAAAAAATGTACTGAGCTATAACTTTACTTTACATAAAAAATTGCTCATTTCATAAAGATTTCAGAAAGGTGCCACACTTACTGTTT